TTACTACACAAATACCACCTAGTTTGAAATAGCATTTTCTCACATTTATGCCTTAACATGAAAACTGTGAAAGAAGTAGAGCTACCCAATTTCCCTGAGTAGGGCCAGCTTCATAAACACATCTTCCAAAAAGACATTTTTTTGTTGTCTAACTTAAAATGCATGTTTTAACTTTATCGCTCTTTCATCAGTACAAAATGTGAAAGTAAGATGTCACAAGAAAAGCCTTAAAATGTTGTACTATTAACTTCACACTGATTAAACTCTAGTTCTTGGACAAATATGCCTCTTCCACAGACTACTGCCACAATGCAAAAGGAAGAAAAAATTTGTCTTCCACATGCTTTTCCTTGTTGCTCTGTCAAAAGAGAGCAGAAATATTGTGAGATGGCTCTAAGGAGAAGGAGATCTCTGTTCATTCAATCAGTATCACCGTATGGCAACTATTTGCCACTGACAGGATGCACATGGAAAGTGTTCAGTTAAATGCATCACCAAAAAGCATTGTGGAACAAGTTTTATTGTAATAAAAAGAGCCTTTTAGAAAAAGGAGCAGTGTACTCCCTGAACTCTACTCTTCCACAAAACATCCATATTTCTTGTTTAACTCTACTCCTAGAAATCCCACCTTAGACAGTGCTGAATCAGAAAAGATGAGAAACCAGGGCATGAAAGTGTTTTATAAACAGGAACAACCATTACATGCAACAACCTTTAGTTTGGGACTTTAAAAGTTTCCGCAATGGAAAGGAACATAAAGTTTCATATTTTTCCAGTTCTGCAGAAAAACTCTATTCAGAACATAGAAGTAATCAGCTAATGGTGGCAAGGATGTGATTTAGTATAATTCAAAGCTCTCACTCACCTATTAAGAATGATGAATGGGATGTACATAGTCAGCATGCTAGCTCAGTGATTTACCTACCTTGTATTTATAGTACAATGAAGTTTCTCATGATCAATCTGTATAAACTGTAGCAAAAGTAGCACTGTTGCAAACATGAAGTATCTTTCACGGAAAACACTGGCAGTCCCTTAGGAACCCAGAGTGAATAGCAAAGGCAGCTTCATATGACAATTGAATATAAAACCGCCTCACAAAACTATGTAAACACACTTCAGGAAATGTTGTTTTCAGACTGAAAAGTGGTCTGGATCAAACAACAAAAGGAAAACAGAAACTGTCCTCAGAAAACGAAATCACTATCTCAGATATATCGTTCATTTTTTCAAAAGGCTAGCGTCCTTCTACCCAAGTGAATTAGATGAAGAGCGAACCTTTTGTTCCAGAGGTAAAACCCTTGCAGTAGGTTCATCAACAAGAGACTCATTGCCATCATCAAAAAGGCGCCGGCAGCAAACCAGTGTGAATGGAGGTGGCACTTCTTTTAGAAAAGTGATTGCCTCACGGCGCGATTTTCCATACAGCTGAACTCCATTTACCTACAAAGAAGAGAAAATATCTGTCCAGACTAAAATATCAACCAGATTCTCCAATTACCCTTTTTCTTTACTTCAACATTACAAGAAGAGAAGTACCTATCTTTCCCCAACTGTATGGGAAGGTCTAGTTTTACCTAGGGATTCCAGCAAAGCTTGCATAGCTTCATTAACATATAGAGCCTGAAGTATACATGCATAACTATAAGACTTAACCTTCACCTGCAAGATCTTTCGACTATTGCTCCATCATGTCTCTGCTTTCCTCAGTGTGCTCTCATTTTCTGCTCATTACTTTTCCTAGTCCAAATCTTTCCTAGCATTGTTCGTTCACTCATATGCTTCTTTGCTTTTGATTTTCAGCATGAGGCTTATGTGTTTGCATTAAAAAAAAAAAAAAAAAAAAAAAGAAAACCTGCTTAAGAAAACACAGATTTTGAGTCCTAATCAAAGACACAAAGTAAAACTTAGCATTACTCTTTCAGGGGTTTAAAATACAACAAAATGGTTGAAACTGAAATAGATGCTACAGAAAACATGCAAGAATGTTTATATAATAAAAACCAAACCAACTACAGTAAGCAATTCATCAGAAAACCCTGACAAGAGAAAGTTTACAGTCTCATAAGCTTTAACTACTGAGTGACAACAGAAGACCATAAAGCAATTGCTATTGGATCTTATAAACTACAGACCTTTTTTAAAAAACGATAGTAATGCTGCTTTAAAAATGGGATATTGCAGTTACACTTCTTAAGGAAAATAAAACTCCAGGGATTTATCCTTTTTTACAATACGTAATATCATGAGGTTACACCTGCTTGCACTTGTATCTTTACATACAAGGAAAGCAGAATTTCAGTAGGTGTCATAGGTGTGATTGAGTTGTGCAGCCCAAAAAGAGCAGAGATTTAACCCAGCTGGTGCAGAGCACCCAATCCCCACACTACTGGTGTTTCAGGGATTTCTCTGAGGGTATCCCCAGCCTGGTCTCATACCAAATGCCCATGGGGGTTGGGGAGCAACCACTGGTTTAGGAACCCAGTTCACACACTCCAAGACTGCTCCCCAACATGAACCAAAGCACAGTAAGCGGGGATAATTGGAGAGTCTGTTCAAAACTTCACTCCAGATCCAAACTAAAACGCTGATGTATGTCTTATCTTAGAAAATATAGCACCTACTTCTGTGCACAGAACTACTTAAGCCTACCTATATACTTCCCAAATCTCCCTAATCTGCAGCCGGACTCAGGCTTGCGCAAGACTACATAGCAATCTCACTTCATACATATCATCTCCTTTCAGATCACCTCTGCTTTCTCTCTCTTTTCTTTGTGCTTTCTATAGTATAAATATTTCCTCTACTGCTGAGAAACAGAGTTCAATTCAGAGTGGCGTAACGGGCCTCCAACATGGCAAAGTGAACTGCCGGGCTTTTTTTTCCTGTAAGAATTACAGCAACTGCTGAGCTATCAGGCTAATCCATTAGTTAATTATTTAAGGAGAAGTATCTACGCATAAGGATTTTTTAATGCATTGAGAGTGGCAGCGTGGTGGAAAGTTACCAGCTTGTCTCAGCGTACTGCGATGGATGGAGAAGAGCCCCTGCCCGCTCCCAAGCAGACTTGGGGACTCCCGTTTCTCCGTTGACGGCTGCCAGAGCCCAGCCTCTGAACAGGTAAGGTGCCAAACACCCTGCTCGTTTACCTCACCATACGAGCTAGTTGCTCTATTAGCAATTTTATAACAAAATCGAGAAGGACACAAGGAAGCAATTTACTCATTAAAAAAAACAAAACAAAACAAAACAAAAAAACCCCACAATTAAATTAACTAAAATTAGGAAAAAATGAAAATACCATGATTTCTGTCATAATGCAAATAAATCAAAAATAATCAATACTCAACCTCACGCTATATTAAAACAAACAAACAAAATTGTTACTGATCACATTTTAACGCCAGCTGTACCAGGCCCAGGTAGAGCCGCCTGTTTTAGGAATGGGGCTGTCACTTTTTCCATTGCAAACCCCTACTTAAGGGGATTTATAACTTGGCTGCAAAAACATACTCTGGGCTCAAACCTGGCATATATAGCTTTAGCCCTGGAGCACATTTTTATTTTGTTGTTGTTCTTTTTTTTTTTTTTTCAGCTACAGAGTAGAAAAAAAGCTCATGCTCTGTGCACTAGGCTTGGACATATCTGTGAACTTGCACAGTAATAAGTAAAACTGTTAAAGATATACAACTAAATTTTCCTGTGTTACTCTGTAGCACTGCTTTATTGCTCCGTACACAAGTTTTTGTTTAGTGGCCAAAGAATTTAAACAACACTTTCAGCATTCCATTAATCCCTTCCTTTAGGAATCAAGATTTCCTCCATTAAGCAATAACTGAGGAAAATGTTTTAGGTCTTAGTGATATAAGTATGAATTTTTGATGTTAAAGGGTAAACAACAAGTAAACACAAGAGAGCTAACATAAATTAATCTTTCAGAAGGCCTGATTCTGTTCCCAGTGATGTCAATTACATTCTTTGCATCCACTAGAAAAAGGTTCATATTCAAAATATTCCACTAAGAGGAGGAGTTCAGTAGAAAGTGAATGACTTTTTTTTCTTGCAGGTTTTTATATTTATATATACATATATAATTTAGAAATTATCTTAATTTTCTTTCTGAGCAATCAGGTCTGGTCTGATTCTGATCACTCCACAGCTACTGCAATACCTCTTTATACATATTTAAACAAACTGATGTACTAGCTCATACACACAAATTGTCTTTCAACACTCAACAAGCAAGTCATAATGCTTAACAGGAACCATTATTCCTGAGACTGCTGTAAATTTTTCAGGAGTGACAAATATTAAATAAGATTACCCACCATATAAAATGCCAAAGCTAATGCCAAATTGCTCTAAAGACTGAACTGAAGGACCACAGATACAAATACTTTCAACACATATATTTTCTCTGCCCTCATGACTCTTGATAATCATGTTAAATATTTCACAAACCAACATGAAAGTCACTTGAGGTCACAAGAACTCACCATTTTGTTCATAGAGGAGGAATGAAATGGTGGTAGAAGAGAACTCTGATTTCCAAAGCAGTGCTCCAACCACTTCCACCACTAACTCTTTAATACTACTATTGCACACGTATAGCAGCCAAACTAAAATTCAACGCAAGCATTTTTTAAGAAGGCTAAGCAAATAGCAAACATAGTTGTTCTCATTTGGGGAAGTTTTACCTCCAGCAGTTCATCTTCCAGTTGCAGAAGGCCAAGTGTTGCAGCTGGACCATCTGAAGCAATTGATGATATGTAATGATGTCCATCAAATGTGTCAAGCTCAACTCCTAACCTCAAGGTGTGGATGGGTAACAGCTGCCAAAAGATAAGTATGGCTAGGAAGCAATATATATCTCTACATACTGCACTGTAAACACAATTAGCATTCAACAGCTCACCAATTAAATTGAACACATAGTTAGATGGTTAACTCTTCACACTGATATCAGCTATGTTACAGCACAAATGTCCATAATTTCTCTGTCCAAACAGATTGTCCAATTAAAAATCAATCTTTCCTTTTGGGAAAAAGGCATTTTGCGCTATACTCTTAAATAACATTACCATACTGAAAAAATGCAGGGAAGAAAAGTACCATCTAAATCTATCCTATCCAAAAGGTGTTTTCAACAAAGCTGTTCAGAGGAAGTCAGTAAAAACCCATCACAAAATCAGCTGTCTCGCTTCTTGAGGACCAATACTACTTTTGACCTAGGAAAAAATATCCAAAAAGAGTCTTCTGCAAGTAGCTGCTAATATTGGCATTCTTATTGCTGCATGGTGTTCCATTGATTTTGTCTTGGCCTTTTCGTAGCGGACCTCCTTAACCCTACATTTTTCTTCAGGAAGCCTCCAACCATCAATGTCTTTCTGTTAATATTAGGAAGACTGGGATAAGACTGAGACGTTACCCAGACAAGACAGGAAGAATGACAACAATGTGGGGACAGAGGGAGAAGGCGAGATCACCAGTATCTGCTCCTCCAATTTGGCAACTTTCTAGCTTTTTATTACTTAAGTTGAAACACTGACAGTCCTTCTGGTTCTCCAGTTTATTCTGGATATTCCAGTAAAAAGAGCAAATCATTGATCCCTGGCATCCCATCACAACCACGTCCGATTATGAGTTTATGGCCTTTCCTCACTGAGACATCCCCACAAGTATTTAAATCTGTCTCACCTCCAAAAATGAGTATTACATAATACTATGATACATATCGTAAGAGCCTCTGGAAAGCTTCAGAAGACAGAAAATAACTTCAGCTCGAAACAATCTGACCAAATAGAACGCCCCGTTGTTACCACAACCCTCTCTGCAGGCCTATGCCGTTCTTGAGCAGAGTTTCTTGAATGCAGAAACCCTGCTCCACTCAGTGGTGGCTTTCATGAACCATTCTGCAACTGAGTTTCAATGTAATTGAGTCCTCAACAGTTTGAGGCTTACAGGTGTACATCTCCTTTATGCCTTTCCTTAAGCTTCAGCTAAGTTGCATAGCTCATTTTTCCAGGTGCTACATTTTTAGCCCATGCTTTTGTAGCCCATGCTGCAAAAGGTATTGGACCAGTCCAGAAGGCAAGCAGCGCGCTAGCAGCCTCTTTTGGAAGAGTAAGATAGACCCACAAAACTGGGATCACTCCACGTTTCCGAAACATACAAATTTAGAGTTTTGGGTCATGCCCACCTGCCAACATACACCATCAAAGAAAACATCACATAAGTCATACCTTTGAGTACTTCTGGAGCTCTGAATCATCTGTAATGGGCATATCCACATTCACAACCTAAAAATTGTACAGCATAACATTTTTCAGTAGCAGTACAATAAAGACTTTACCAGAATGATAACTAGCAAAAAACTGATTATGAGTAAAATAAACTGCATTTAAACAAAGTCATATGGATGAGAAATAATTTTAGACAAATGTTAGAAAAATCTTTCAGACACTGAAGACTTGCATTTAGCAATGTTGCAATTATGCACAATTAGCAGACTGCAATGTTACCCTATTCCTGAACTGAAGCCCAAGTGCCAATTTTAAAGTCAAGTTCAATAATCCTGTATAAGCACAAAATGCAATTATGTTTGACACAAATACCCAAACTGATTTGCCAATCAGTAAAGTACTACAGCTTAAGTTATTACTTCAGGCACTACAGTCATCTAACACCTAGACTAACCACTATCTTCTGCAGCACATTTCCAACATGGCTTGAAAGGCGTTGAGTTTAATGAGTTTAAATTTGAATGCACAACAGGTTCAGGAGGAAGCGGGGGAGGACTCTTTTCAAGATGGACTGAAGGGACTTATTGACACACTTTTTTTTTTTTTTTTTAAATATAATGACCATAATCTTTATCATCAATTTTCTTGTACTGTTCTTCTCTAATAGAATTTATCTGTGACCTTAGAAAGGTTATTTACTCAAATTTTAAATGTAGTAAGATTAAATCTATGGCAATTTATGGCCTAGGGTAGGAGCTTGGGACACTGAAATTGAATATGTTTGGAATGTATGAATATGACTGCTAGACTTGTTAGATTTGGAAAGATTTAGCTTTGTAAAATCAGGTAACTACTTCCTTCAGGCTTCTTTGGAAATTTCCGGTTTAAAGAAAGTATCTACAAAACAACACTAACTCTCAGCTTTTTCTTCCAGCTGAACTTTCATTACATCTTCCAGAGTCTTCTTTCCCAGCACCTAAGGCATATTTCCCAACAGACAGAATCCATTTCATATCCATTCAGTTGTAACTGAATAAATCTATGACTGATAACTCCTCAGCCGTCTGTTCATGGTTAGATATCTGGCAACAAATACCATGCAGTCATAAATCCTACACAGTATTCTAGGGTCTCTTTCTCTCTTACAGCAGGATGTTTGAACCACAGGAAGTTCCATCTGAACCTGAGAAAAAACTTCTTCACTGTGAGGGTGACAGAGCATTGGAACAGGTTGCCCAGAGAGGTGGTGGAGTCTCCTTCCCTGGAGATATTCAAAACCCGTCTGGATGTGATCCTGGGCAATAGGCTCTAGGTGACCCTGCTTGAGCAGGGAGGTTGGACTAGATGATCTCCAGAGGTCCCTTCCAACCTAAATGATTCTGTGATCTCAATTTTGTTCCTAAAGTTGGTACCACAAAGAATCAGAAACATAGGAGACATGGGTGATGCTAAATCCCTTCTTCAACAGCCACTTCCTCTGAAGAGAGGTACTTAAGAGAAAATGCTCAAACTCGTCCCCTTCGGGTGCTCTGCCAGTTTCAGTGGAGCTAAACGTAGGAGTGAGGATAGCGTCAAATGGACTGAGCTACCAGGCTGAAATCAAACTAAACGTTGTCACTGAACACGGCCAAGCAAGACTAGAGGTACATATAGAAGATAGAAACTCGAAGAACTAAAAGACAGCTTTCAAAATGGGCCGCCATGGCAGTTTCCTTCTATTATTTAAAAGGACCAATTATTAACATTTTCACCTGTGTCATTTTACTGGCAGCAGTTAAAGAAGAATTAGAAACGCACAGTTTCACAAACTAAGCAGGTTTTCATCCTCTGTGGGAAGTGTGATAATGCTAAGTGAAGTAATATCAGGCTCTGGAAATGTAAGAATGGGAATACCAAGCAACTAAAGTGGGCAGCAAAGCAGATTTATTGAATCATGTACATAATCTTATATGAACTTCAGATCTTAAAGGAGTGCTAATGGAGAGAAGAGGAGCCAGTTTCTCAAGACAATTCTTAAAGCTACTTTAAATCTTCCCCCAGCAAGAGACTGGAATGATAGCTACTCTAAGTAGTAAAAATAAGTGTCTCTAAATCAAGCGGACAAGCATTGCAAAGACAAACAGGGTATTTTCTTGGTGGCTTTATCTATGCTCAATGGCTAACACAGCATTGCAAAGCACTAGTGAATTAAAATTTCAGTCAACTCCTTATGACGATTTATATCTGGAAAAAGTAAATAATCTTTTGCTTGGTAATCGCTCGATAAGAGATGAATAAGCATCTAATAGGCACCGGCACCATAAAGTTACGCTACCTTGAATTACTTCCTTTTCTTCTGATACATTTGAAAATCCTTCTTTCAGTCTTTGAATAAAACTGTAAGATTCTTTGTGAAACACAGGAGTAATATCCTGAGCCTTTTCTTCCCAGTGCACAATAAAACAAACAGATCATAAACAAAATCATGAAAATGCCAAATATTTTAAGGGGCTGCTATGATAAAGATTTAAAGGGAAAGCTGATTTTCTTAAATCACTGGTCCTACCTAAACAACAGCCTCTATATAAACAGAATAAAGAAAAATAATTATAAAATGCCTGTATTTCAGCCTTGATGTTAAGGGGAACAAAATTTGATGTTACTGATCTGTTCCAAACTCTAAACTGTTCTATAAACAGCTTGTAACGCTAAGCTCATAGATCTGTAATTTAAAGAAATAACATACATCAGTGTACTTTATTGAAGGATAACATACCATAACTTCATAATCAGGCCCCAGCAGGTTTTCCCACTTGGATTTCAGCTCATGTGCTGGAGAAAATGGGACTCTTCCTAAATATGGAAGGGAATATTAAATTTACAAGCACATTGTACATTCAGAAATACATTTGCTTCTAAATACTTCAACAAAAACTCAGTGTAAATAAAAGATCACAATAATCACAAAAAGGAAATTGCATTAAGCTGAGTCTATCAAACAGCGCAAATCACAAAACGACTTTCAGGAAAACAATGCACAATGTCAGCTACTGCTATAGTGTGATTTATTCAACTGAGAAGCAGAAGAGGTGATGCTTGCATTGATGAGATGTGAATTTTGTAACACACAGTACTGTAAATAAATCAGTCTTTCAGGCTGCAAAACAAATTTCACCCAACTTCATAATTTGTTGCTATATAAATGCTTGCTACTCCAGGGAAGCATCATCTCCCACCAAAACGAACCCTCCTAACAAGTAAACACCTGACAAGATACTGCTGTTATCAAGGGGCTGCATCAGCCCAGTGCAGCCGTAGACTTTATTTATACATTTGGCAGGTATAAAGGCTTGTCTTGTTTAATTAGGCCAGTAAGTAACATGAGCTTTAATATAAGCTCCAGCCCTAAACCAGTCTTCCGTGGGAACTTGGCTATCTTGACATTTATATCTTTTCAGCTTTCTTACTTATGCAACCAAGGCAGTATTACATTCATGTAAGACACTTTGACAGAGCTAGACAGCATAAAATGACTGGCTGCCCTGCATTTGACCTCATCCAGAAGCTCAGCACACATATAAAGTTCTGCACCAAAGAAATGTTTAACTGGTAAGAATCAAACACTAAAGCAAATTCCATCTAGCAGCTACAGCAGCAGAAACTGGAGACTGACTTACCGAAAACTGCTTTTCCCCTGAATGACTGTAATAGTTTGTCAGATGTCTAGACAAGGCACAGACCACTTAGTATTGCTGATGTGTCATACTAAAATTTAGAACGTAAATCACAATCTCTCAGGCTGCACACAAACTAGCAAGTAAAATACCTCAAGGGGAGGATTTTAAGACACCAAGAGAAGCTCAGACCTTCCTACTAACAAAAGCCAACACAAGCAGGATGCCTAACTTCCTTGGCTTTCAACACCTCTGTGGATTGCAAGATAAAACTAAATTATGAGCTTTGCAAAAGAATCCTCATTACATCTTTTCATAATTTTGAAATTTTAAGCCCCTTAAAAATAAAGATTTAAATTAATTTATATAACGGCATAACCAATCACTGCATCTCTTCCAGCCATCTTCTATCAGGCCAGGCAGTCAAATGCTATCCAAGCTGCCCTGAGAAACCACACCTCTGAGCCTAACATCTGAGTTTTCAACTGGAACTATCCAGGGTTCCCTTCAGCCATAGGCTCAAAGAGGTACAAATACTGAAGGGTTCCAGCAATTCAGATGACTATTTTTGTCACCAAAAGGAAATCCTACCAAGACTCAAAATCTGGGGTTTTTAAAGACCACAGTTGGCTTTGAAATAAATCATCTTATGGTAAAAAACAGGTAAAATTGTCCTGAGCTGCCCCTTAAGATTTTTTCCTCCATTTAAATTCAACTGAAGTTTCTAAGAAATGTTCTTCATGAGCCCCGTTATCAAGCACAGGCTGATCATTGTATTTACTTCTCAACTGTTGCAAAAATAAAACACAAGCGCATCTTTCTACTCCTCCCATTTGCAGAAATATGCAGGGACAAAAATATTTTACAGTTTCTTTTTCTGCTATTACAAAGCTATAGCCTGAACACACAGGACCTAAGCACCTGCAATCCCCCATGCAGTCACATGTGGATGTTAAGCTTCACCAGGAGTAATAAATCTTAGGACTGAGCTCAAAGTTCAGTTCAGTAATTTTAAGTTGGGTTCAATTGGCTGAATACAGACTTCTTTGTCACTTTGAAAAGCACTACCAAAATCTACGGTTGTTCAGAATAGGGGCTGATGCACATCTCCACTCAAAGTTTTTGCCTTCCTTTCTTTTATACGGGCTTTGAGGTCTAGCTTCCTTCAGAAGTGTGGAAACGTTGGAGGAAGGGGTTTGAATCAGATGTTTTTAATTCCAGTGGTATAACCCAATTCGCTTCAATGCTCCTTTTTCATAAACAGCTTTTTCTACACTGCAATTAAGGAGAATTTATTTCTTTTTAGTCTTTCATCCAGCTCGATTTCTCATGGCCTGAAATACATACTACATCTTCCGCAATGCGTGAGGTCTCAGAAGGAAAAACGTCCCAGGGTCAGTTTTCATTAGCAATGGTTTTCAATATGCTTGGAGTTCTGTCTCTCTGCTCGCACTTTCATGTAGTTTTCCTTTCTTACAAGCAATTATCAAGAATTAATCACAAATGTATTGTCTTTGATTGTAAATATCATCTTTCCTGGTCAAAATTGCTGCATCTTCAAAACTGGGATCCTTTTTTCTTGCAATCTTCTCCTGACTTCACAAACTCCCTGTATAAGGATGTGTCCTGTGCTCTACTACACTTCATTAATTCACTGCTTTTATCGTCTCTGCTGCTGGATGTTATTCTCCAATCATGTTTAAGCTCCTAGCTAGCATCATCATATCTTTGGGTTTTGCATACTGCCACAAGGCAAAAACAAGCAGTTCTGCCCAGTCTGCAGTCTTGCAGATGCAGCTGTTAAGTTAATTGCCTCTAGTCTGCAAGCAGAAAGTTTAAGGCCTCATATACATTGCATCCTGAACCATGTTGTCTTTGTAACAGAACTGCTTAAGCATGGTTTTGCCTGGACAGAATTACTATTTAATACCCCTCCAGGAAACACAATTTGAATAAGAGTTTCACACAACTGGGCCTAAAGGGAAGTAATACATATTTTATAAAACATACTTTTTACATTAAACTTTCAAAAGCATTTCCAGAGTTTAGTCAGAGCCTTAAATTAGCGGTATTTACTTTAACACCAACATAGTTAAGCACCCATCACCATGTCCAAAATAAGCACCTATCTTTGGAAGTTAAACTTGGCCACTAAATTCTATTCCAAGTGGAAATCATATATGAAACCATATTTCAGTATGAACAAAATTTGCAACTAAACATTTCACCTTTTTAAACAGAGGTGCACACACACACACTTCACAGTAGTAAAAAGCTTTTGTAGAACCTTGTAACTTCAAGTGTTTTTTCACTGCGAAATATTAGTTCAAATCAATGATATTTGCTTACCAGTGCATTAAATGCCACTGGTTCATTACTCGTTTTTAAAATCGTGTCCGTTTCATGATTCTGCAAAGATCCAATGAGGACTAGCAATACTAAATAGTATGAAGGGCAGTATCTGATTGCAAACCAAGAGTATCTGCAGCATTCAAACCGTGGTATCCCAAGATACGCTGTCCGCACAAAACACATCATACTGTATTAGGCAAGGTAGGGCAGCCTGGATACCCACGAGAATAGAAAAATCCCACAATATGTTTCCTACAAGATGCACTGGGAATTGCAGTGAATACATACCACACCACCTCTGCAGGAAATCAGGATGGGACTGACTGGGAGCTATTAATTCCAGGGAATGAAATCCTTGCCGGAGCCAGGTGCATCTGCACAGAGCTCCAAGGAAAGGGATTATGAGATTGGCACAACATTAGAATAGGGGGAGCCACTCATATACATGTGATCTGGCTATGACCTAACAACTCCTCTTGAAACTAGGGGTTTTGGAGTAGGCATGGAGAGGCATTGGATCTATATCAAAGCAGTTCAGGTCTGCTGTGGAAAGGGCTCATAAATAAATAAAGTTAGATCCAAGCTGACTCTTTGCAGAATAGGGATCACTAAGGCCTCTCTAGATAGCACACCTCGAGACCAACAGAGTTCGTTAACTTCAAGCCAGGCAAAAGCAATTTTACTTCCCAGTCTAAACTGATCCTAGCACTGCTATGCCATACTTGCACAGCACTAGGTGTTGGGTAGCAAATTCCTGCGAAAGTTCTCTTTGCATCATGGCAAACATCTGCAGTCTGTGACACAAGATAATCCAATCAAGAGGAATCAAGAATTGACTACAGAGATACCATTCACTTCAGTAGAAAGAGAAAATACTTTATACACAGAAAGTTCCACAGTAATCAGAGCAAAAAAGGGCTGGATAAATGACACTGGACTGTACACGTTAAACACTCTTTTCTAGCATCTGTAGTAATGATTGCAAGTCTTACCAGCTACAGGTACCGCTGCTAAGCCTTTAAGTTATTCCTCCAGTGCAAATGCTAATCCATATATGCCTTTCCACTCACACAGCTAAAACAATGCTTTGATAACCTCACATCTTAGCTACTCAACCATCTCCAGTCTGGCTTCCTATTTCTAGGAATATGCAGAAGTCACAACACAGGATGTCTGGTTATAAGGCTTGGACAGAAAAGTAAAACAGAATGAAACATAGGAACTGCTATATTTCTCTCATTTCCAGGTTGTCTTTAATACTGACAGATCTTCCACAATCACAGCAAAATTGTTATTCATTGACAGCCATAATTTAGAATCCTCTATTACATATACATAGCTTAGAAACTACAAAGCATAAGGATAATTTATGCTGACTTTAACACAAACTGTAGAATTTCACCCAGAAGTTCCTGTAGATGAGCCCAGAAATCTGTAGGGGAATTGAAGCACGCCTTCTGGAAAGGCCTCCAGCCTTGATTTGGATGTTAGCTAAAAACCAAAGCAATCCATTCCTTTGTGATTTGTCCCTATAGCCAATTGCCCTTGCTGTTAAACACACATGCCTATTTCAACTCCCGTCTTTCTCATTACTGCTTCCAGCTATCAGGTTTTTTGCCTTTGCCAGACTAGACCTTCTCATTTACCTGCATAGGGGTGAAGGCAGTAACTTTCCAGACTGGCTAGTAAATTCAGGACAAGCAAGCTAAAAATTGCATGCCCAGAGACTTAACTCTTGTTTCCAGTAGTAGCATGGCAGGAAGCAGTATGCAACAGTACTGGTACCACAGGGTAAATGAGTTGGGTCTGGGAACAGATAGACAGCATGAGAGGTCCACTGCCAAGTGGGGAATCTCACAGGAGGTTGATGCAACTTGGCTGGGCTTCCTACTTATCTGGCACTCTAGGAATGCTAGTGACCAGGAGCACTACAAACAGGACAAGCAAACTAGAGTAAGGCAGTTACGTGGCCGTTGGTATGCAGATGAGACAGATGCTACGCGTGGAAAACGACCTACAAATGGAGACAAGGCGTCACAAGATGTGATCCCCTATCCCTGCTGTGGCAGCCAGACCTAGAACTTCAGCAAGCTCTGCTCAAGCAGAACTCCTGAGGGGGGATGCTGCAGCCCAGGTCCCAGGCTGAAGGAGGCCAGGACCAGGAGGTGGGTTCTGATCAAGCTGCCACAGGGCCAGGTGAGAGAACTGCAACAAATCAGGCATCAGGGATGATGAACTGGAAATCAACAGAATACTTGAAGAGTCTGCTGAGTTAGGAGCCCCAGAACTAAGACAGCAAGAAGGAAGCTATGAACTGAGGCAAAACTGGATTGGGAAACATATGTGATCTCCTAAAGAGGGTGGAAGCTGGAAGACTGTGACTTCTGACAGGAGGAGGAAGGCTCCATCTCCTCCTGATGTTGTTCATCGCACAATCTGTTTCAGGGCTCTGGCAACAGAGGAGGAGGAACAAGTTCTATCAATAATAGAAGACTGCAGGCAGGACACCTCGGGTCATCAGAGCAGGACCACGGCTAGGAAGGGCTAGAATCCATGAGCTTTAGGACTCGGCAACTCTTACATGGTGATAAAGTGGTACTGTCTGCTGGCCAGAGAGGTTTGCTTACTTGCCCAAAAACCATATTCATGCCATTGCAAAAAGACTGCCAGGACTCATCCAATCTGCTGGCAGCTATCCCTTGCTGTTCATTCATGTGAGCAACAGTGACACGTGTCATTCACTTCTAGAAGTATGCTGCTAGCAAAAGAAAGCTCAGAGGGAAAGTGGATCTGTTCATAAACGGGGGGGACAACCTAGTGACAGAAAACACAAATAGAAGTGTTCTACGTCTTTTTTGCCTCTGTCTTCACAGAAACTTGATCCTAGAACTCTGCAGGCCAGCGTGCCTTGAAAAGGAAAAAAGACAGCCAACGCTAGGGGAGCAACAGGTTAGGGACTACTCAAAGAAGCTGTAGACATTCAGATCCATGGGGCTGATGGGATTCATTCAAGAGTACTGAAAGGCTGGCAAATGTGACTGTGACCTCTCTCTATAATCCACAAAAAAAGTAGACCACTGGGGTCAAAGAGCATTAATCAGGGTAGAGAGGCTAATACTGTTCAGTAGCTTCATCAATAGGCTCCATGATGTCACAGAATGCACCCTCAGCAAACTTGTGGACAATACTACATTTTGGGGGTGGAAAGAGCTGATAACTCTAACAGATCGAGCTTCACTTCAGAGGGACCTGAATAAAGAGCATTACAGAGCAAAAAAACCGAAAGCCAAAGTAAGAATAGATACTAGATTAAAAGAAAATTCAAAGAATATCTTGCAGCGTCTTTTCCGAGTCTATCTACCTGTTTTATGTAGACTCTGCTTCTTTTCATTTTGAAGATTATCCTTTTGTTCTTGGTTTTCCTCATTCTTACTGTCCACACTAGCTTCAATCCCCATAGCTCCAGGGGACACTAAGGCTGGAACAGTTGGCTGCACTGTGAAAACAAGTGGAGGAGGAAGAAGAAAAAAAAAAAAAAAAAGGAAAAAAAATCAGACATATGCTGCAAAAGATACAAAGCAGTAACTACTCCTTATTAACATTGCTACACACGAATTTTGTACTCAGTCTTCCTGAATCCCTCATTATTCTTTCCATTCATTCCTTCTTAAGCATTTCATCTTCCACAGTGTGCCCTTACAAGATCTAGGATGGTGTGGGATCTAGTCCTAATTGTTTAACCAGGTCACTGCACATTGAGTGGGAAAAGATAAAAAGGATTACCTCTATCTAATGGTCTTTCTGAAGAAAGAGTAGCAGAAGAAAGTTTCCTTCTAAGTAAGGTAAGGCGCACAGTCTGTCCTGTGCTACGCAGTGCCTCTACCACTTCTTGGTTGGTATAATCCTGAATATTGACTCCATCAACCTAAGACAAGAAAATGTCACGTTATATCAATGACGTTACGGTCTTATGCTGTACCTTCACTGTAAGCAGTGACCACATTATTTTTTGCAGAAGTTAAAGGGTAATTCACCCTAAGATAGTATTATTTACAGAAGAATCTCACTAAATCATTTCACAAATTAGACAATATTTTCAAAAAGCATTTTAAAAAGAAAACACTACAGTGAGTTATTTTGTGTTCACGGGGAAATCACAGAACAGGAATCGACTAATCTGATGGAAGCATCCCCCCCGCCAATTTTTTCGTTTACAAAGAGCAGCTTGACAAGTATTGTGGATGAGGATTCCCAGGAAAAGCAGTCAAAGTGAAAGTCGGTTTAGTTCATAATCACTGTTCGTTTTTCCTACATTCCTAACATGCCCACACACAAACCTGTGAAAATAGCTGTGTGTTTAATCCACCCTGAACAGCCTAATTCTGAAAGGGATTCAGATGTTTCAGTTTACATCGAAAATACACCATTCACCTCACTGTTACATCATGCACCAGTAGGGCTTTCTCCTGCAAAGCCACAGACAAAAGCACAAGGCTGCATCAGATTTTGCTCTTGTAAGGAAGACGCTGACTTTGGGAGATCTGGCACAGCGCACATCTTGTAAGTAATTTTAAATCATATCTCTATGCAGATTATTTTGTAAAACGAAAAGAGTGTGTAATTCATTCCTGTTTGTACTGTGGATACAAAATTAGCTATTACTCAGTTCACTATTATTCAGTGCTTTTTAATTCTTCTATGTTTAAAGCTTGGGTTTTTAAACCTAAATTGTGACTTTTAATATTTTGATTGTATCCACACTATGCTATACACTCATTAAGGACCATAAACAATGTTGACACTTTCTGCAAAACCTTAACCATCCTCAAACTCCATTGTTTTCAACGGAAGCCGATACTGCTCATCTTTATAATTTAGGCCGAAAGCCAAGACTCTTCACTCTGGAAACAGTTCAGTCCAAATGCTTGCTTATTTTATAGCTAACTACTATTTACTTCTTCTTTGAATATAAAATAATATTTTAACCACAGCTAATCTAAGCTCGTTTCCATTACAGTCATCTCCCTAAATAAACAAGAATCACCAAATTCTTCCCTCTGCAAAGCAGACAAGGTTTGTTTAATTTTACAAAGACTTTACTACATTGCTTTTTTTTAGTCCGGATGTACATAATGGAGCATTAGTTCTACAGTAACGTATGAGCAAAATTTTTACTTACAGCAACAATTTTGTCATGAACTTGAATTTGGCCATTATGGTCAGCAGCACTACCAGGTATTATATTTTTCACAAAAATCCCTGAAGGTTCTGTTGGGGCAAGGGAGGAGGAAAGAGATAAACAAGACAATCAATTAACTTGTTTCTTTTCTTAATAAGTTTTTATTTACAGCCTTTTCCACATACTTCACTCCACACAGTCATGATTCTGCAAACTACTGACACTCGCACGTACCATTTATGTGGCTTGACTGTTAAGAACGACTGAAAATCTCCAAGAGGAAAAAACAGCATTGATACAAGCACCTGTACACTGACCTCTATAATTTTTTCTTAACGTGGCTCACAGAAGGCCACCTCCTCCATGGATTTGTCCTTGTGCTTACACAGGCTTTAAACCACGATCGCTGAAGTCTATGCTGCATTTGATTTCAATAGGACTACCTAAGCTAAAAGTGAAGTATGTGCTCAAGTACTTTGATCAAGGCTTCAATCTATCCTCTTACAGCTAAAGAACTTAGTATTTTAAATCTTAATGAAAAAGGAGAAACATGGAAATCAGAAAAGCTATCCTTTGTCATACCGGAAGTTTGGTAACTAATTCTAACGTCTAATTAGAACCAAGGAATAAAAAAAATTAAAAAACCACAACATAAACCACAGCAAAAACAATCATCAGTTGAAACATTAATCCTTGCCTTCCCACTCCACAATAAATATGACACACTGATCTTTAATCTTAGTGAATCTTGACACGTCATCCATCCTCTTCTCACTAACCTTCCTCAGACATGCAAACACCCACCTGTCCAACCTGCTTGATCCATGCTCAGCAAAGCCCCTCTGCTAGTGCTGCAAACCCCACTTCTCCCATGCCTCACATGGGCTCCTCCCCAACCCAGTTGTTCTCAGTGCTCTCTACACTCGCCTGCGAACCCCCAAGGGGCAACACAAGAGGACGTCCTGGGAATTAAGAGGGCAGGATAAGCAACCCCAGTTGCATCACGCTTTCTCCGTTCCCAGAATATTTTCTCGAGTCCCGCAAGGAAGGGGAAGGGAGAAAAAAAACACTACCTCTTTGGGCAAAACCAGATATTCAGTAGAGTCAATTTTAAACAGGTTATCATTTGTGGAAACAATAATTGAAAGACCAGTTAATAGCTCTAATATATAGTGGATGTAGAAAAAAAAAAAAACTGATTCCACGTCCCAATACCCAAGCACCGATATTTTAATCTGTTCCCAGAATTCAGACACTGAAACAGCCATCTGCCACAAAAAAGTAAATCACCTTGTGAAGGTGGCATACACATCACGCACAGCTAAGAGCCTCTGTATCGCCTGCCTGGCAGAGAGATGGACTGGTTAATCTGATTGATCATTTCCATCCTAACACCAACAATTCATTAAATAAATGAAAGTGCATGTTGAGCTATTTTGTATGTACTGAAGACACCATTCAAAAATTGATGTGATCTGCAGACATCTGATGCTCTGTTTTAAAACTCTTCTTAAAATGTATCATCTAAATTGTTATATGTACTGTGGAGCAAAACAAGCAACACTGAAGACAGAAAGCTGACTACCCTGGAATCCGTACATGCATGAACTGTCTGTTACAGTCTAAGTCTTGCACAGTTATGATCTAAGCACATGAGATTTGCAGTCCAGTCATTTGATGAGAATCAATTTTTAGGCTCACTACAACTCTTAAACAATTTTGTGGCTGAATTTCACTTTGCAGCAAGCTCTCCGAGTATCTTTCCGCAGATTTTGTACGTTATGCTGTTTCAAGGAAGTGCTATCCATTTTCCTGTTAGCAAATAAAGAATATTTGAGACGTCTCTGTCCTAGACTTTCCTAAACCACATAAAACCCACCTGTATCACATAGGCCAGTATATCCAACAATTGTTATCCCCAGGCTTTGCCCGTTCTTTTTTATAAGTTCAACATCATAGGTCTCAAAAAGGTCAGTATTATCCTATAAATAAAGCATAAGAAAATAAGGCAGTTTATAATTTCTCAGTACCTTTAGCAAACTGCAGGTTAAACTCTTCAAAAGTGAGCAGTGATTTTGATGTTCCTACTTTAAGGTCATTACTTGCTTTTGAAATTCTTTGCTACTACTTTTTCCACATACCTGTCAGAGGCATAACATTTATATTTTATTGAAAACAAAGGTTTTCATTAGATTGCTCAGGGGCCATTTTCCCTTGGATTCCACTGCCACTTGGCAACAGCAAACTTCTCAGTCCAGCCCAAAAGACAACAGAAATGCTGAATGCCCTGCAAATTTCTTCTCTGCCCTTTATCTGTTAGTCCTGACACAAGCAGTGCTATGAGTCCACCTGCCTGAGATGCTTCTATTGGGCAGTTAAGAAGCAAAAAACTATTATACATACATTTCTGTCGGGGGGGGGGGAAGATTTTTATCTCTCTTTGTCATTATCTATTAAGGAACTGAGGGATACCAGGAAAACGATCCCATAACCCAAATAGGTTTCATACCCTGAATTGAAAGAAATCACACATAAACATAGTGGCACACCTCTACCATGGAAGGAGTTCTCTACCTAAATGCGTATGGGAGACCATGTAGATGCTTAAGTGTACTTTTTGTCTTCATGCTAGACACCAAAATCGGAACTATACCTTAACGTCAATTTTATGCACATGAGCTTAAGAAGTTTGATATGGCCCTATTCTGATCTGATCTCCACCAAACTGCAAAGAGCACTGGAAGCCTCTGGAATGTCAAAGGCAACGTGAAGTGAAAGATGCATTAATTTGCATTCAATGAAAATTAATTTTAAGGCCTAACAGAAAAAGAGAGAATATTATATAAATGCTTTATTGTTGAACTAATGAGAAGACTTCTCATTAAAAAAAATACTTGGGGAGGGAAAAAAAAGGCAGCACATAACATGACCTGTTCTCTGGTCTCTGAACCCTCTGCTTATTCCAATCACTAACAAAACCTAAAAGTCATGAGCTAAGATTACAATGGCATCTGATCTTACTCTGGAGAAGCGTACAGAAAAAAGGTCCTCCAAAAGTTAGCTTCATTATGTCCCACCATGCAACTATTCTACTCTGACAAGTAAAAATCAGAAGTACAAGACAGAATACACACAGGATGAGTTCAGGATGAGGCCGCCCGAAAGGCACTGGTGATACAGAAGAGAAAAATGATCAAGCACATATATTCCCCCATGCTAGTATGTCAAGGGATAAATTAAAATATATGAAGGTGTTCATTTTCAATAATCAATCTGATTATACCAATGAGATCAAAAACAAGCACATGAGCTTAGTAAGGCGTGTTGAAGGCGATGAAGAAGTCAGGAGGGCTAGTATCACTGCTAACAACATTAACATGGAGCTGGAAGAAGGAAAAATTTATTGAGAAGACAGCAACCAAAAGAAAAAATTAAATCAAATGCCAGCCAAATGTCACCTACATTAAAAGTAAGGCAAAATTATGGTTGTGCCTATTTCACCGTTAGCTGAAAGAGAAATCAGTAGCAGCTATCTCCTTTCTTGTCACACCTCCCTCCGCGAGTTGGCTGCTTAAGCGCTTTTCAACTCTCTTGCTCCATAAGACGCTGACAGGGATGAAGACAGTTTTTGTGCTCTGTCACTTGTCTTTAGGAGAGGGAATCAAAACAGCAGTCGAGCCTTTAGTGACATCTGAAATGGAACTACGGTCTCGAGAGTCCTGCTGTTCTGGCAATTGGAAGTTCTTCGCCGCCACTGCTCTAGCTCTGCAGAAAAACTCCCTGAGGAATGTTACTGGCAAAACGCAAGGATTTTTTAAGTGAAGGCTGGAAAGATCACGGTACAGAGTCTTAAATACAGTCAGCACAAGTAGGCTGCTAATATTGCAGGCAGTATCTTGCAGAGCACAAATAGCATGACTGTTTCCTTGTGCGTATACACAGAGAGAGAAAACTGACCAAAAATTAAAAATGCATTTCTGATTTGTAAAATAACCCTAAGAGGAGGGAAAACACAGAAGAAAAGAAAAACTTTTGCTACTCCAAAGCTTACAGCCAGTGAAAGTGCTCAGAAATCAGAGGGAAATATCAGATTATTGCAGAAAGCTCTGTTGTGAATCAGACACAAACAGAAAGGTGGAACAAGAAAATTATAAGTAAATTAATAAATACATTCAGACTAGCCACCACTCTTGACTTCAGCAAATCTATCATCACGGCAGAAAGAGGGATTTCTTCATATGTAAATGTGCAGGCCCCATCAGTTTAGAAAGCAACAGATGACATTCAGAAAGAAATAGAT